ACACGATGTTTTTGATAACCGATAGGTGATGGGTATACCAAAATTGATGTCAACCTTTCACGTCGGCAGCAAGACACAATGTCATTCGGAATTGAAAAAAATATGTACTCGACGAGTTAGTGCAGATAACTAAACTATAGATAGGCAGGTATATAGAAAAACACAGTATTTTGATATTTTATATTATTTCGTCGCAATTACTCGAGATAAAGATTGCAATTTCAAAAGTCCAAAAAGTTATTAATCAAGTATATATCTACGATTTTGACACATCAAACATAATAGGTATAAAAAGGTTAATATTATGTCATGTGAACTGTGAACACAATAAATTATGATTATGATAAAATAAGAAAAAAATTGCAAGTGTACTTGTGATATAGATTACATGAGGGACAAACCCCTAATTGATTTTAGTACACACGGTACATTATGAAAATAGTTAATGTTGGAAGTGGTGGTTGGGTAGGTGGAGTTACAGTAGTTTTTCGTTGATTTTGTATTCGGCTTTCAAAGAAGAACCACCATATTATACAAATATTAACTGCCGAAAAATAAAAGTAAGTAATAAATTCATGTACTTACTTAGCTTTATTTTAAATTAAAATGTTTTCGTTAACTGGATATGTCTTAATATTAACACATAAATACAATTACGTCAATTTGAATTTCCTTACCCATATATCTTAAGATTTTTAGTAAAATTTTTATTGGTGTTCCATACAAAAGCTATTTTATAATCCAGTTTAAATCATAGGAATATTTTTTGAACTACAGTACAGTATTAAAATAATAAAATTAACATATAACTTAATTTATTTAAACGCAAGTATTCTAAAAAACATACATAACTTATTATAAGTGTTTCAGGATTCACATCATACTGACGTTTTGTGAAAAATGTCAGTATTAAAATAATAAAATCAATTTAATATTAACAGGAAAACAAATTCATATTACAACCTATTCAAAAAATATTTGTAAATCATTTCAATTTCTAAATAAATTTGGAAAATATTTGTGTTTTTAATAGTGTATAAACAACTTAATTTGCTTGAAACATACCACAAAAATTAAAATATTAATAATATTTAAACATTTTAAAGTAATTTAAAACCTCAATTTGTTTATTGTAATTTTCATTCCAAATTATTGAACAAGTTATTAAATGGTTACATGGTCTTTGATCTCATGAGTGCACGTCCTTCTTGCACAAAAATGTATTTCAATCTGAATTCTATTTATGTGTTATAACCAATACTACAAGGATGTAATTTGAAATAAAATATATTTTAGTGTTGGGTATGAATGCCTACCATTATATAAGAATAATTTACATCAGTAATTTTGTCATTTTACATAAAACTCTTATTTACCTTGTTATTAATGTATTACATAGATGACTACCATCAACCACAATAATTATTACTACTATGGGGGGGCAGAACAGGACCAGTCCAAGGTGAAACCTATTGTGCCACCACCAAAATCTGCCGGTAAGCATGCCCACAATTTAATTTGTTGACTTAAGTGTTTACAATGTTTACATAGTGTTAACATTTTTTTTTTAGATGCTTTGAAAATAAAAGGGCAAAAAAAAAAACCAAGTATGTGTATTAAGTATTTAATGTAGGTAATTAATTTTAAACACAACATTTATTTAATTTTTTAAGAATGTCACACATGCAAAAAGATGCACACTGGTCGTTGTAGGGCATTGGAGAGGGATTTATACCCCCCCAAAAAAGGTTAGTATATTTGACAAAACTTATTTCAATTTTATTAAATTGAAGGACTAGGTGGGCGGTAAGCATGCCTACGATTTAATTAAATTTTTTTTTTGACTTAACTTCTTAATTCATTTTTTTTTTTTTTCTAAGAATGCCACACATTTAAACAAAAGCATACTGGCCGTTACAAAAATATTGGGGAGGGCCAACATCCCCAAAAAAAAGGTTAGAATATTTTACAAAACTTATTTAATTTTTATTGAATTTACAGAATATTGAAAATGTTGTTCTAGAATGCAGTATGTGTTACTCAAAACATAAGGGTGGATGTTGGTGGCTGCCACGTGAAATAGTAATTTATAACTGAATTATAATTAACAATATAGGTACATACTCGGTACATAACACAACATTTTTTAACTCTAGGGACCACAAGAGGAAGACTTAAGGTCCATTATACGAAGACGTCAGAGAGCAAAAGTAAGTTTTTAGTACCTACTTAACTATGTATAAATATATATTATATTATATTTTTATTTGTGTAAATATTACACATGGCACATAGATAAAATACATTCATCGCTATGCTCAGAATCTAAAACTTAGTTTAATATTTTCTATAATTATCTCATACAATTCAATAAATTTAATAACAGTTGGCAATGGGAAAATAATGATAAAATACTTTTTTGGGAGGCTTATATTCTAATTAAATTCTCATCACATTTGCTACCCGTCCTGATATTCTATAATATAATATGAACGACATAAGCTTATAATAAAGGAAGGAATTACAGTCTGCAGTTTGGGAGAATTGGGAGGCACTCATAGGTGTATTTATATATTATTTAACCCTTTCACTGATATGGACGCATATATGCGTCCAACGTAGGCAACTCTGTGGTGCTATGGACGCACATATGCGTCTTTTCATTTTAAAAATCATTTTGAGAATTTTGAGAAACCATTTTGAGAAACCCTGGCTAAGAGATATACAATTAGCAATAACTTGGTAAGTTTTGTTCCAATTTTTTTTTTTTTAGTTTTTTCAGATTCAGTGAGTATATATCTATATTTTTAAGGTGGAAATACTAGTTAAATAATTTATGAAATAAAGTCAGCACAGAGCAGTTGCATTCAATTTTTATGGTCAGCAGTGAAAGGGTTAACAACGATTGTCATTATAGGTTATAGGTACATAAGATTATTACACATTTGACATTTTATTAACTAACATTTAAATAAGTAACTAGTAATTCACCATATTGAGATGTAGTTTACTAATGTTAATTATTCAGTGGCCTATTGTATAAGTTGCAATTTATTTTTCCCTTTAAAATCTAATTGTATTAATGACTATTAATTCATGTTTTAGGAAACTCAAATATCTAACATAATGGACATGATGGAGATCAGCCCCGCAGACACTTTACAACCAAATGTATTGTAAACCAAATAAAAAAATAAAAAAAAATAATTTAAATACATAGCCAAAGTTAATCATTTTAGTTTTTATACTTATATATCATATGGATGGTTAAAAAAAAACTTTGGTACTTACCTGGTCTTGTGCTACATAGACTTGTTTATCTTACTTCTTTTACTGTTTGTAGGATCTGAAAATGAAAGTAAAGTATTTTTAATTTGTAAACATTACCAATTACAGTGTTGAAAAAGTCATAGACACATGTGTGATGTGTTGAAAATTTTGAAATAAATAATTAAATATGTTTTGATATATTACACATTACATACCTTTAAGAAACGAGAACAATCTCCTGTCAATACTGTTTTGAATGATAGAATAACGTTGATAAATTAAACAAATCGCTTCGTTATTCGAGCGAACCATATTACCTATTAACAACATTTAAAAACTTGCCATGACGAGTAATTATTGGTTAAACCTTAAAAACAATATCTTGAAATGAAAAGAATGAGAAAATAATAGGTACCTCTAGGCTATATCCCTATAGATAATAACTAATAAGTAAATACATTTTAAAATTTAACACTTTACCAATGAGTAAAACTAAAAAAATATACACATCATTGTAAAACCAAAAAAATAATTGTACAGTTGAAACGTTTCCGTTAATCGGGTAAACAAACGTATAAATCACTTCCACGGACGTGCTCGTACTCGTTTCCATGTTTTTTAACGGGTCGCAACCAACCATAGCTTGGTACCACGGTAACCGCCATATAACGATTGAACGTATTAAGGTGGATTCACACTGCTCCGTGATCCGTGATCCGTGATTTCCGGAAAAAAAATCTGTGATTTCTCAAAATTATAAATTTTTCATTTTTGCGGTGAACATAGTGGTAACTGGTAACTGGTAATTGGTTTATTGTTATCACGATCACAAAATCTTTATCACCTATCTGTTGTCAGTTATTTATATTTAAAAATATAATAATTCACTAAACTTAGACAATGCACTATAATAGTCTACACTCTACAGTAGAACTTGTAAGTGCATTGTACAGTTCAACATTTGACCAGTGAATACTACTATTAGTACAATTTAGCTCAACTATTCAGTTGTAAATTGTATTATAATGAATAGGAATTATGAATATGAAAAAGCCTTGTGGAGAAGAAAAGTGATAATAATTTGTGCAATGAGACTACAACACGGACTAAGACTAAGTCCGTGGACTACAACTGGCAAAGAGGCAAGTGTACAATCTAATAACTATTCCTCATTACCTCGTCTGCATATTTATTAAATGTTATAGAATATAAAATAAATTTAATTTGATAGGAATTCCAAAAAGAGATGGTATGTACGGCCAATTTTTCAAGAAAGAAGGAACTTGGGTCACCACACTTTGTTAGTTGAAGAATATAAACTCAACAACTCTGCGAATAGGAGAATCAACAGTGTCAATTATTGTTAGAGAATGTTGTTTGGCAATATGGAAAGTCTTGAAAATAAAAGTGAATTATATTTTATAAAACAATAAACTATAAATATTCCAATAAAAAAAAAATGATGTTTTCATATTATTGGTTGAACAGAACTCAGTTTATGAAATTTAGGTTGTCATCATTCTATAGAACAATTTTGAAATTCAACTTAAGATCAATTTTTATTATTTTTTAGTTAGACAATAGACATGTATATAACCTTACATCTTTTACAATTTAAATTATATTTGTTTTCAATAATCTAGGTTTTATTTACCCCAAGTACACATGGTTGGATACAAATAGCAAATGAATTCCATAATAATTGGAACATGCCTAATTGTGTAGGCGCTATGGATGGAAAACACGTTGTACACCAGGTGCTTATCTAAATAATAATATCACTTAAATAATAATTATCTTAAATATTAAAAATATACTTATATTTTAAAGGCATTTGCAAATACTGGGTCCGTGTACTACAACTATAAAGGTGCTCATAGTATAGTGCTTCTTGCTGTTTGTGATGCCGATTACAACTATTTATTAGTTGACATTGGTGCACCAGGTCGTAATAGTGATGGAGGCGTATTTAGGCAAAGTACTTTGGGTAAAAAAATTATTTATAATGATATTAAATTTCCAAACCCCACGCCGATCGATACCGCAGTTGGACCAATACCTTATTATATAGTGGCAGATGAAGCCTTTATGTTACTGCCAAATGTTATGCGACCTTATCCTGGCCGAGCTAAAGGAAATTTACCAGTCGACAAAGCAATTTTTAACTATAGGTATGTAACCCAACTAACTATTTAAAATATAAATAACTAAGTTAAAACTATAACTGTAGATTAAGCCAGGCTCGCAGATGTATTGAGAACACATTTGGTATTATGGCTGCCAAATGGCGAATCTTTCGTCGTCCAATTATAGCGGGAGAAAAAACAGTAGTTGCTATAGTACAAGCAACAGTTGTACTACACAATTATATTAAAAAATATGAGAAAAACCAAGGTATAAAGCTTTAAATAATAATTCTTCTTGTAAAATGACTAATAAGACTAATAATAGTAATATAAAATATGTGTGTGTGTTAATAGGCATTTTTATGTATTGTCCTCCACCACAAAATGACCATAATATCACTAGAACTTTTGAAATCCATGGAGCATTGGAGCCAATTGGTCCTGTATGATCTAACCATTATGGGATTGATGCCAAAGAAGTCAGGGAAAAATTAAAGTTTCATCTTATGAATGAAGGCAATGTGGAATTTCAATATGATAAAATATAATAAAAATATTATTAATGAAATGAAAATATAACTTTTATTAATGAAAAATGTATTGCTAAAATTTAATAATTGAGTTCACTGATGACTGTGGAAATAAATTCACTTTGTAGCCTTCTTTTTGTGTTTGTTGGTAATTCGGACATCAGACTTCCCAAGTACGCACAGAAGGATTCGTCGCCACTAAGCTTTTGAAGTGGTGGTGGGCTCTTCGGTCTTGATGCTTTTAATTCTTCTAGCAACGATTGTTCAAAAACATCCGAACCAACTAATGATTTTCCTGAAGTTTTTGATATTGGTATAAAACAATATAATACATTATAATATAGTAATATCTAAATTGATTTGTTACTTTTTTTTGAGCTATGTCCAGCGGTTGATTCATTGTCCTTATTTAAGTTGTTGATGGCATTATTATCTGGTTCAAATACTTCAATATTAGAAATAGTACCTGTAAAAAAAAAAAAAGTTTTATTTAACTAATACATTGTTTTGGCCTAGTTTAAAATGTTTAAAATGTATATATAATTACTTATTTTGTACATAAACTTCATCTAAAAATGTTAGACTTTTAAAATGCATCCATTGTTTTAATTGTTTTCCACCTTGTGCACCACTTGGCTTTATCAGTTTGGATTTTTCTCTGCGGTACTGTTCTTTCAAGAAGCCAAATTTTTTTTCCAACTGTTTAGTGTTGTAAAGAGACCCACCTTAAGGTATACAAAATCTTTAAAATATTACATGTATTACAAGCGTTCAAGAAAAAAATTAATATGAGTTGGTTAAGTTAAAAAAACATTAAGGACATCAAGATTAAACTATAAGCTAATAGTTAACAAACAATGATTAACCCTAAATGTTTGAAATTATTATGGAGAAAAATATTAAGTTATATCAGTTAAAAAGAAGTTTACATCATCGTAGGTACCTATATGTAATGGGAAATTGGTGGAGAATGCGCACCGCCGGACATAAATTGGTATATTCTCTTTTGGGACAGAGTGTAGTTAGATATATACAATCATCATATATAGTTTCACTGGAAAAATTATAAAGACACAAAGTAGGTACAGAAATCCCAGCCTAAACAAAATTTAAATTTAATATTCAATACTTACAATTCAGTACATTTATTATTTCCATCCATAATCTGTGAATAATTTGCGGGTATCTTTCAGCTTTTGGAAGCCTAGCATCCCAAAGAGGTCTTCTTTTTTCAACCTCTATAATCAATTGAGTACTGAAATCTAATAGTTCGGTTTCCTCTTCAGGCTCTTTGTCTTTATCATCATTAAATTCACATTCTTGCATCAACTCCTTAAAGGAGCTTGTTGTGGCAACGGTCCGAGGCTTTATAGAATGACATTTTGGCATCTCTATTTAATAATATTAATAATTCTGTATATTAAAGATATTAACACTTACCTACTACTATTACATTAAAATTGTATACATTATATTAAAGATAGGCACAACTAATAATAAAACAACAGTTTTGTATTTATTGATTATTTTTTCTTCAAAATAATCAAAATATAAGTTACATTTTGAATATTTGAAGTAAAAATGATTAATGGTTACAAAATAGTTGTTTTATACCTATACTTTAAATAGAGGAACAGGTAGGTACTAATACTCTGTTCCATGAGAGATCATGCCGGTTCTGCGCATCCCCCTACGTCACCCTGCTGTCGAAACTGGTTGCCCCATGACGGGTGTGGCATAGGGGAACCAGTTTTGGTCGGTGCGCGGCATGATCTCTCGTGGAACAGAGTATAGCAATTTTATTCCCAGAAAAAACATAAGTAAGTATCTCCATTGTGTATATGACTAAGTACTAGGTACCTTTATCAATTGTGGTTACAACTTATACACAACTGATATATTCATTATATTATAAAGGCGGAATGAGAATTTGATCATTTACTTTACAAAAATAACTCCAGTGATTATTGTCCAATGCAAAACATGATTTTTTAAAGAAAAGTATCATTAAAAATTGATTTTAAAACCAAACCAAAAAACTTGGGGTATTCACCCAAGCAAAAAGAATAGTACACTAAAACATTAAATCCTTTTATGCCAAAAACAACAAAATATTTTGGTTAGAATTATTTGTATAATATGGTCTATGGACATTTATTTTAGGTTATTAAACTTGGTGCACAGATAAGTTTTGGGCAATTGTGTCTAAACCTATTCAGTTGATTTCCCAACATTTTTGTTACATGGAGATATTGTTAAACCATTTATCAGGTCAGATATAACTATACTATAGTATATAACTATACTATAGTATTTAAAAAAACAAAACAAAACTTAAAAAGGAATCGACAAACTAGGTGTTCCAGTTTCGAGCAGCTGTTCTAATTCTAGTTCAAATCAGTCACAGTTAAAAAGCCCTCAACTGAATAAAAATAATTGAAATGGCATTAATGATTTGGGTAATTAAGAGAAGAAAGGTGGACCATGTCGTTCAGAAGTCTAAACTTCAGTTATTTAAATAAATATTATTTACTGGACAGAAAAACCATGTTAAAACATGTAGTATATAAACTTATTAAATGAAACATTTTAAACAAATCACTTCCAACTAGTACTAACCTTTAGGTGATGCAGAGTTGTGGCAGACATGTTTGTCATTTGTAGCTAAAACAAACATTTTGCACAGTGCACATATTCGGCCCTAAAATAAATACATATTTTCAATGTGAATTAGTTCATGACATCCGTGTAGTTTTTGTATTATTGTATCGCAGAATACTAACTACAACTTGGGATTTATCTTGAGCTCGAGAATTCATTTTGACAAATAAACTTAAGATATATTTTTAATTTTTGAAATAAAAATAAGTTTTATAAAACAAAATAATACATAATAATAATAATAATAAATTTCGGCATTCTATTTTTATTTTTATTTGATAATTGTTTTGGTAACCAGTAACCGCATAATTATAAACATTTGACTTGAATAGGATTTGATCCTATTATCTGGTATCTGTAAAATAACGTGGTATTTACTTTTAAACATTGTGGTTAACCGCTAGGTAACCACAAGATTCAGCCAATCACAGCGGTGAATTGTTTTTCCGGAAATCACGGATCACGGATCACGGAGCAGTGTGAATCCACCTTTATATACGTCCGTGGTTCAATGCATATAACCACTCATTTCATTTTTCGGGCAAGAGCTTATCACTCAGCGATAGAAAGTGATAACATAAAATATTCCGAGGTGCAGGTGATAAGCTATAGAAACGATAGGCAATAATTAATTGTGCTTATCATACGGGAACGAACAAGAAATATTTTGAGGTCATACCTATTTATATTCTATGATTATTGTAAAATGTGGTACATAATTTACACAGACTTCTATACTACAGTAGATAACTACTACATTATGTTATGTATGTCATAGTACATTGTAAAAATGAAGCTGATAAACCTTGGTCGGATAGCAAAACATTTCATTTATTATACAAAATCCATATCCATTATACCATAGAATATTAGAATAGGTACTATATAATATTCTATGTTATACCATAGAGCATAGACCTATAAACTAATGGACAGCGCATAGAGTGAGAAATCATCAGAGGGGATTGTTGAGAGACCAAAAACAGGTTTTGGGCACATTATACGATTACAACAAAATAACTAAAATCGTAATTCTTGGTTTAAATATGAAATTTTGTCTAAATTTGAAATTAAAATGTCTGTAAAAAATAAGTGTGTTTATATATTTTTTAGATTTTTTGGTTACAGTATGAATTATTTAAGAGAATCTTTGTCTTAAATTTTCAACTCTTAGTTATAAAAACTGAACATTTTATAATTTTTTAATTCCAACGATTGATAATTTTCGACATTTTGATAAATTTTGTCAAAATTCCAACTTTAAATGCTTATAAAAAAAAATCGTGCCTATGTATTTTTAATATTTTTCAACTGATATTGTAACAATATATCAGGAGCCTTGTATTAAATTTTTACACTTTTTGGCCCAACAGATAAAACTTTGTTGATATTTATAGAAAAAAAAAACTAAAAAAAATTGAAAGCTGTAAATGTCCATAAACAGCTCAAAAAGAGTCAAAATATTTTCAAAATTGTATGGTGTATATGAAATGCTAATATAAACATTCAGTGAAATTTTCATGTATCTACAGTTATTCGTTTTTGAATTACAACAAAATAAGGAAATCGCTACATGAGAAATCGAGTGAAAATCCAATGTTGTAAAAATTTGAATTTCAAACGCTCATAAAAATTTAATTTGACTGTCCGGTAGAGATTTTTTTATTGATAAAGGTAGATAATCTTATAAGGAATCTTGTGTTTCATTTTCAAATCTTAGATTTAAAAAGAAAAATTTTTACGAATTCTTAACTCAAAATAATTTGCTAATTTTCGTGATTTTTCCATATTTTGTCAATTTTTGAACTTTAAATGCTTATAAAAAAAAAATTGTGACTAAGGATTTTTAATATTTTTCATCTGCCTTTGAAACAACATATTAGGAGCCTTCTATTAAATTTTCAAGCTTTCGCAACCAACAAATAAAATTTTATTGATATTTCTAGAAAAAAAACTAAAAAAAAATGAAAAATGAAAATGTCCCTAAACAGTTCCAAATAAATCAAAATATTTTGAAAATGTTATCGTGTATAGAAAATGCAAATATAAACAACCAGTGAAAATTTCATGTATCTACGGTCATTTGTTTTAAAGTTACACCAAAAACCAAATTCGATTTTTTGGAAAATCGATTTTGCGTAAAAATTCCCGTTTTTCCTTAATTTTTATGTTGTTTTTCCCGGCGCTTGTGAAAACTACTGGAAAATGTTTACTTTTGACCCCCCAAAGTACCAACTAGATTCACTTTCCTATCAGAA